GGAAAGTCCCTGGCACAGAAGTGGTGTTTATTTGTCCACCTTAAAAGACCCTGTCATCATGTAGGAGCAAGGCACAGCCCTTTCCAGGGCTGCACTGGGGATTGGGCAGGATCTATGCTCAGCAAGACACAGCTATTTTTTCTTTATGTATTTTTATTTAGCTAATCTTTGATCCTTTTAAAAAATATTAATTATTTGAGAATTTCATACAATGTATTTTAATCACATTCACCTCAGCTCCTCCCTTTAACACCTCCCAGTCCCACCCCCACTTCCCTACCCTCCATAGCCTCCAGTTTGTGCTGCCCGTATACTCCTGGACACGGGGTCATCACTGGAGTGTAGCTGACCTACCAGGAGCCACATATTAAAAAACAAAAAACAAACAAACAAAAAACCTGACTCTGCCTCCCCCAGAAGCTATCTACTGTCCATAGCTCCTCATTTAGGTGTGCGAGTTCATGAGTTCATGCCATTTAGGAATGTGATACATAAATGTATCTGTGCATGAACATAGCATTTACAAATTAAACCCAGGAAAAATGGTCAGAAATAGTAGAGAAATTACAGAGATGGGACAGCAGCCAGTGGAGTTCTTCAAGATTAATTTGGGAGGTAAGGAAGAAGGACAAACAGAATCAGGGCTGTTCAGACAGAAGGGACAGTGCTAACCAGACAGGAAGGTACAAACAGCCCTGAGATGCAGGGATGCAACTGTGGTACAGCCCGGGGCAGTCAGCCCCGACTGAAGACAACTCCTACAGCATCTTGAGCTAGAAGTAAGAATGTCAAGCACAATACCTATACCTTTCCTGTCACTACAACCAAATACTAAACAGCTTAAGAGGAAAAGGAGTTATTTTGGCTCACGGCATCAGGACAACCATCCACATAGCAGGAAGGTGCCTTAGCTGAAGAGGGTCTGTCACTGGTCCTTAGGGGAGCTCCCAGCATGGCTTGTTACATCATGACAGCAGGCAGGAAGCAGAGAGCTAGATGGAGGACTGGCTCTAATCTCTAGGACCTGCCTATGCAGCCTGACATCTACCAGCCATGCTCATGGCCAGCAGGTTACACAATCTCCCCCAACCAGAGAGACCAGATGAGCAACGCGTACTCAAAATCATGAGCCTAGGAAAGAAAGTTTGTATTCAAACTGTAATAGGGTGGCTAGGTCAAGTTTGTGTTTTTGAGGGTTCCCTGGGGGGGAGGGATTTAAAACCAACCTTCAGTGTTGAAGGTGGAGGAAGGTGATACTGCCAAGCAGACAGCGGCTGGGAAGACCGGGTGTAGACAAGTGAGTTGCTGGGGTAGGGAGAGAAGAGGAAGTGGGTGGTCGCTGGAAATCCCTCTCCTGGCGAGGCTCTCTCCTGGGATTTAGTTTTATCAGCTGCCGTCTCTGTGGGACTGGACTTGATTATTGCTGGTAGAACATCCTCCAGTTCCATTGGGCTATATTTCAGAATCTCTTCCCAGCAATGCAAATCTAGCAACCAGGAAGTCATTTACTATGGAGAGAAGAAGTCTTGGCTTGGAATACAGAGTGCTCGCTTACTTGGGACCAAGAATGGAATGTGCATGCTTTATTGGGTCCACATGCCATGTAATTGCAAACATCAACTTTCTGATAATGAGGGAGGGCCAGAAGGAGTTTAAAGACATCCACGGAGTGACTAAACCACTTACCCCAAAACATATGTCGTGATTTCCACTGTACGTTATGCTATAGATGAGTCAGTCTGAGATAGCTAAATTTAGGATTTTTACAGACCCCTCCTTTCAGAATGTCAGAGTTTCCCTTTAACTACAGGAAAGAGGGAAATGATGATACAGTTAGGATCTGGTATCTCGAAGACTAAGACGTCCACCACACTGGAGTGAAAAAGAGCTCCAAGGATCAACCCATCAGGAAGACAAGCAGGTCAAAACATGGCAGGTGGCCCTGCAGTGAGAGGAGATGTGGTCACACACAGGAAGACAGGTCAACTTGAAGGGAACTTTTAAGGACAGAATGCCCAGGACCTTGGTGTCTCTGTGTCTTAGACAAGGTTTTTATATCTGTGGTCGGGGGGGTGGGGAGAGACCAAAAGCAACTTGAGAAGGAAAAGGTTTATTTCATCTTACAGCTCGTAGCTCACCACCCAGGGAAGTCATAGCAATAACTCAAGGCAGGAGCTGACGGTGCAGAGGCCATGCGTGACTACTGCTTACTGGTGGCTCCTCACACCTTGCTCAGTCTGTTTTCCTACAGCGTGTATGACCACCAGCCCGGGGGTGGCACTGCCAACGGTGATCTGGGCCCTCCCACATCAGTCATCAAAGGAGAAAATGTCTCACAGGCTTGCCCACAGGCCAGTCTTGTGAGGGATTTTCTCAGTTGAGGTTCCTTTATCCCAGATGACTCAAGCTGACATAAAACTAGCCAACATACTGTGTTATGTTGAGGGCCTCCCCTCTGAACCAGGAAGAAGGGAACAATGATCCAAGTGAGGTCTTAAGGAACTTGGAGCCGGCCAATAAAGGAGGAATAAGTTAAGGGTGTGGATGCAACCAGCAGGGCCAGTTCAGAGGGAAACAGTGGAGTTAGGCTGAGAAGCGAAGCCAAGCCTCAATGGCAGAGGAGGCTCCTGCAGGCCGAGGTTGAAACTCCGAGTCCTGCCTGCGTCGTCACAGCCTGCTGAGGCCCACTGAAGCTGTCCCTTTGCATACTCATGTGACCAAGTGTTGCCAGGACAGGTTCTGCTTGGCCATTGTCTGTGCGCCAGACACTCAGCCTCTGCACTGGTCCACACATGCCATTTCTCAGTGTCCCTACATAAACTACGACGGACTAGGTGCCGTAAAGAAAAGGCAGTGCCTTGCTTCCGTTGTTGTGAATACAGGCTGTGTGACTCAAGAACCCTGTTGCCACCTTTCAGTGTGGGAACGGTGCTGGAGGAAGGGTAACGGTCTTGCTGTCTGTGCTGCCGCACCTGAGGCAGCAGGATCCGTCCAGGTGCTAGCCAAGCAGCCGCACTACGCACTCAGCATCCTGCAGGGCTAGCCACGGGGAAGCAGAAACGCTACCCTGGGTTTCTAGAACACAAATGTTGATGCTAGAGGAGCTGAAACACTGTCATAAGCCAAGAGTCGATTGGCACGTGACAGAGGTTGTGGTTATTTATAAGCAAACAGTGGCCCAAGGGGAAAAAATGTACAAAACACCAAGGCACCAAGTGACACCTGTCATTTTGTCAAAGATAGAAAGTTTGGAGAGAAAGGGCAGCTTCACATACTAGTAAACACAGTCTTCGTGTGGGGTAACAGAGCAAGATGCAACGCTTGTCATGACATTTCATAAAATAGCCAAAAAAAAATAAGTGAATAAATGGAACAGGGGAAGGAATACATTTTTGCAAATAAATTAAATGGAGATTTTTCTGGTTAAGAAAGTTCTGTCCCCTAAGATGAAAACCGCTAAATGATGATGTCATCTGCTTTTACTGACATGGAAAATATGTGTTTGCTGTTCAAGACTCAATGGCTTAAAGCATCAGGTGTGTTGAGTCAATATTTATAAGATTGTTTTTCCATGTTGGTAAAGAGTCACGGATACAGGAACAGGGCTGGAGGACCGGGGTTGGCCCAAAGGGTAAAGCCCTTGCTACACAAACGTGAGGACCTGAGTTTGGATCCGCAGAACCCACATAAATCAGACTCAGTGATCCCAGCAAAGGAGGGAGGGGAGATGGAGGCAGATCCCCAGAGGCTCCAAGGCCAGTTAACCTAGGGTGTGCAGCAGCAAGCAACACCAACTGTCTCAGATGAGCAGACAGTGAGGATCGTACCTGAGATTGCCTTCTAACTTCCATATGCCCACCAGGGTGCACACACGCCCATACACACACCCATACACACACACACACACACACACACACACACACACACACACACACACACACGGCCATCCATACACACACATGCCCATACACATACACATACATGTCCATCTACATACACATGCCCATCCATATACATACAAACACACAATGCCCACACACACACATGCACACATGCCCATCCACATATACCCACACTATCCTCACACACACACGTCAACCTACACATCCATGCCCATCCACACACATGTTGAAAGCTACTCACTTATGTTCCTGTGAACTTGTCTGAGCACAGAGTTCTGAGAGAGTAGTTTTTCCATCTTCCATATTTTATGGAGAGAATGTCTGAGTCTCACAGACGGACAAACAATGCTACAGAGAAGTAAAAATCAATATCACTGGTGTCTTACTTGCTACTCGAGCTAGGAACTGAGGAGGTAAAGAAAACCCAAAGATGTCTGAAGAAATAGGAGAGAAATTCTCAGAAAGTGGCCGTTACTTCAACAGCTCTGAAGCCAGTTTAATCAGGACAAATTCAGTCTCTGGACGGATCAGCGTGACTCTCGGACTCCATGGGTTATAACCTATATCTGGTGGAAACAAAATGTTTTCAGCTCGAATAGATAAGGTCAGAAAACCATCAAACAAACAATGATTTTTACAGAATCCTGGAGGAACCCAAGAAGTAAGACAAAAGAAGATGCATAAAATCTATCTAGTTTTTTGGAAACTACATGACTACAAAAATATCGTCTCTAAAAATACAAATAAAAAGGATTCCATGAGGGAAAATAGAGAGCAAAAATTTGGCATACGGATGTCAAAACTCCAGTGTCAAAGAGGTTTTGAAAACTGGTCGTGCGTCACCAATTTTATATATATATATATATATATATATATATATATATATCCAAAGATCAGTGTGACAGGCGCACACTTGCCAAGAGCAATGGGAAGGTTTTTAATGCCCTAAAAATCCTCTTTTCAGAGACTCTCTGGCAACAGAGCTGTAATATATGTGACCTGGGAAAAAGAGAGAGGGAGGCGGCTGCATCTGCGTGCCCCCTCTGTTCATCTCTAAGGCACATCTCACTCACAACCGTCTTGTCTTCTCTCCTCCAGGAAACGCCCAGAGAAGAAATGACCATGGCCAAGTTAACCGAATCCATGAGTGAGTAACGCAAAACTTATTCCTTACGTCTGGTTTTGAATGGAGAAATAGAGCAAACCCTGTCTGTCTGCCTCAGGCTTATCTTTCATTCCTGGGAGAGCTCAGGCCCATCTGACCCAGGATATCGCACTGCTTCTGTATTGCCTTACACAATACTCAAAATTCATCTTGGTTGGGATCAGGTTTCTGAACTAAAATTGTTACCCACGAACGGAGCTAAAGAATGGAAATGGATTCATTTTGTGTTCCTGCTTTGGGGGTTGGGGATCTGCAGTAAGTTCAACCTGACTTGTTAGAGGTTTAGCCCAAGCTGGGTGAAGTTTTATGGGCGCCTGTCCGGTGGGCTGAGCGGTGTAGAAAGAGGAAGGAGTGATGAGTCGTGTTTAACCTATCAGGTGTCATTCAGAGCTCCCAACAGACTAAAGAAGAGTGCCTGAAGTATAAGTAGCTTGCAGTAATTTCCATTCTGAATAGATCTGTGACATAATGCCTTAAGCTCTTAAGCTGAATGAATGGAACCCACAAAGCATCTTTAAGAAGGAAGGGAAAATAATTATAATGAATCACTCTTCAGATGACAAGTGCAATTTCCTCTGCTGACATGGAAATAGTAAAGCCATTGGAGATAGGGAATGAGCTGACTATTGTTTCTTTTGGAAATATGCGTCGCTCCTGATAACAGTTTCCACGTGGACAGTTCCAGAAAGTTTGCAAACACTTCTGCATTATCATCAGAGCGATGAACTGCCTTCTTTTAATCCTTTGGTGGTGTAATTACTAAGGTTGAGTATTCCTCTACGGCAAAGTGGCTCATCCTTACACGGTTTGGGTCCCGGGACCCTCACTAGGGGCAATGAGGGAATAAGTAAAGGACAAACATATGGACAGAGAAGAGCTGAGGTTGGGTGGGCTGTACTCGCTCTGATGGAGGAGCAACAGCTCTCTGGAAACTCAGTGTGTTCATTCTGTGTGGTCAAACGGGAAGGCAGAATTATTGCATATAGCTGAACAAGGAGGTAGGTTTCGCTTATCTTCTCGGGAAAGCAGTCTTTAGGATGTAAACATTGAGGGGGAAAAGTTATGATGCACATTTTCTGCACACTGTCAGCATTCACACTCCAGCCAGAGGAAGGTTTTGTCAGCCCTCCAAGCCCTACCCAGGAAAAGTGTCGCCGCTTCTATAGGGCTGATGCATTGGTCTTTGACACTCTGGTGCCCATGTCAACAATACGTATTCACTCAGGACTTAACTCATTCCCTACAGCAGAGTCAAAAATCTTAATACCCAATACCTTCCAGTCCCTAAATAAATATCAGAATTACTTTATTATTGCTTTCCCTTAACTTCTGACCTCAAACCTCTGTACGAGTACAAATAGGTCCTCATCTTAGGCCAACGTCATCGTGTAACCAAGGGTTGTGTGATCAGAAGGATCAGGCACAAGCCTCCTTTGGTTCTTCATTTCTGTAACATCCTCTGCCCTGGTCGCTGCTCCATTCTGTTCTGCCTGTGGTCTTGCACATGTTGAAAACATTTCCTACTTGGTTTGAGGCCCCACAAACTGGGTCTTTATAAGTAAAAGCCTCTCAAAGTGTGCTCTTGTCAGGTCCGGCAAGAAACAGAATCATGTGACTTTCACAATACGGTACAAATAAGGAGAGGAACGGGGGCAGTGGCCACTCCTTCACTGTCCGCAGTTCAAAAGCTAAGTCCTGATCTCTAAATTTTAAGGACCAATATAAATGAGCAATACATCATCATCATCATCTTCTTCCTCCTCCTCTCCTGTTTTCCAATTTTCCTTTTTTTTTTTTTATTCTGCAACCTTTTCTTGCTCTAGTGGGTGCTTGGGTTACAGACATGAGCCACTATGCCCAGCTCCACAGTGCTAAAACACTAATGGCTGAGAACCTAGCACTACCGTCCACAAATGGGGATCCAGTCTCCAGTGTGTGAGTAAATTAAGCCAGAGAGTGTTAAACATGGGTCGGGAGGCTAAAACTTCATTACAAAGCCTCTGCTAGAAACTTACTCCCTGATGCGATTAATATTATGTCTTTACTCTCCTAATGAAATCCTAAAGTATTGCACTGTCCTGGCCACTATTTATGATTAAAGTGTCTTAAGACTGCTGTCTTGTTCGATGTGGGATCCCCTCTTGGCTGTCATGGGGTTAGTGTCAAGTTTCAGATTCATCTCCTTTTTTTCTAGTGACTTTGGATCCTCTGCCTCAGGAAAACATGATCAAAACTGAATCCTGAATTCTTGAGAGGAGAAAAGGGGACAGCTGTTTTAAATTGTTCTGTCTTTAGGGGGAATCACAGCTATGTCCAAAGTACAAGGAAACTTAAGGCTTAAGAAAAGACTTCATGATCATGTCCAAATGTAGCAGTTCACTGGTTCTTAGAAAGATGTCCAACTTTATAAAGTATACCAGATGTACTGGACCTCTTCTAGATTCCATGAAATAGAATCATGGGTTAACAAATAAACATGATATTAAAATTAAACTCATGAATGATGAAAGATACAACTGCATGTTTACTCTGCTTAAAACATTGATAAGGAAAGAGGAGCATCATTATGTAAGGAACTTCAAATCAATAAACTGTGGAGAGAATGAACAGTTACCACTCCATAAAATGAGTGGGAACATCGCATCCGTGGCCACCGGAGAAAGGGGACATAAACTGAATCACGGATGCCCAGGACACAGTGCTCTGAAATGGATTTTCAGAGCCGGTAAACACTTGACTTGACACACTGCCAAGCAAAAGCCATCTGGTTACCAGATCGTCTCTATGCTTGATGAGAACTGATGGTAGAGCTTCTCATACTATCTATCTAAATGTTGTTGAGGACTCAGCAACCCACACATTCCTCCCTGCATCTCCCCATCCCACGCCACCAACCAGCCACCTCAAAACATTCAGCCATGAGAAGCAAAAATATCAATAGATCACTGTGTCCAATGAAAAGCAACTATATTTAATAGATATAATACTTCAAAATATTTTATGTCTTATTTTCCAAGTGAGGAGAGGAAAATAGAATGAGGGGGAAATGGCGTGGAGGAACAGAGAAAGCAGAAACACCGGAGATTTATATTAGAGAATTCAGAAGACAGACTAAACCACAAAGGGAAGCGGTAAGACAGAGGGGCAAAGAGGTGGCAGTGAGAGGTGACAAGGGAGGCCATTGGGGTCTAAACCTCAGCACGGTGAACAGACCAGAACTGGCTGCTTCCTTGCAACCCTTAAAACGGTAATATCCGTTTGTGTCTATGAAATGGGTATTTTCCTACTTGCTCCATCAGAAGCCCTATTTAAAAAGAACAGACCAGGGCTGGAGAGACAATGCATTGGTTAAGATAACTAACCACTCTTCTAGAGGACCCAGGTTCAATTCCAAGCACCCTTGCTGCCACTCACAACTCTCAGTAACTCCAGTTCCAGAGGATCCGACTCCTTCCTCTGGCCTCCACAGGCACCTGACATGCACACGGTGCACAGACATGTGTGCAGCCAAAACACTTACACACACACACAAAATGAAATAATTTTTCAAAAGTAAAAAAGGAGCCTCCAGAAATCTCACAGTGGAAGAAGTTGCTCTGAGCTTGCCCTTCCAGCACCCAGGATTTTAATGCCCATCCATTGAATGAAATCGATCTGAAAGACAGAGCCCAGTGGAGCTAAACACTGTCTATAAATAGACACGCAAAGACTCAAACTGTGCCATCATCAGAGGTGACGCTGGAACGGCTAAGTCCTGACGTGAGCTCTCAAGCCAAGGTCCCATGGTGACAAACGAGAAGTATAGGGTTGTGCAAACACCCAAGGGTCTTTAAAGTCACGCTCAATACCTGTGCAGGCTCTTCTCACATAAATGTTCTAAGTAAATGGCTTCATGGTCGCTGCCTGCTGCTGTTTCTCCTGGCCCCTGCTTCAGGGCTCGTGGGAATATGTTGGGATTGCAGTCAGGATCTGACCCTGTATGAGGTGATGGGGTTGCAAGGATGAAAGGGGTTGGGGACTTGGACTGGTGTCTTCTCCAGCCGCATGAGTCCCCATGCAGTCCCTGCTAGTATCCTGGACTACACTCTTGCCTCTTCTCCCAAACAGCAGCATATTTACAGGGCATTGCTGCCTCCACAGATGGAGGTCTCTCAGTGTGCATGTAGTTGATCCTGATAGCCCTAGAGCTGACCTGCAGCCTTCTGTCTCCATCTTGCCAACCTCTCTTCAGGCACATGTGTCTTAAGCCTTTCCTTTCCTAGCCAGTGTCCCTTGTGGTCCTCATGGTCATCTCTAGGGGTCATTCTACTCTGTGTGTGCATCCCACTGGACATCACAATGATAACACCGATCTTGGGAAAGGGAAACAATTACCCAGCACCCTTTGGGAAGAAAGTACAGAGTGGCAGCCTGCAGCCTTATGTTCAGTGGCTTCAGAAACTGTCCATATCTAGCCAAGGGAGAGACAAGTAATCTCCAGAGACAAGGATCTGCCCTAGAATATGTTCAGAGATCTTGTCCCTGTACTTTATAGAGGGAATTCCTACCCTGATTAAAGAGCCAGCTCGAATGTAGCTCAGATTTGAAATTTTCTTGTGTCAAATGAAATGAGGAGATGGAACCGATTACAATCACCACACGTTAAATTAGCTCTATTAAAGCAAAGTGGTTTTTAATCATGTCTCCTAAGAGGAGCAGCTGGTGAAACTCTGGCATTGTGGTAAGGCATGGAAAAGCAAGGAGACGTGTTCCTTCATGCGTAGCCTGTGAGGAGCTAACACCTAGATTTCTGGGAACACATGCTGCAATGGCGACCCAACAGGTAGACACAGGAGGCAGGCACAGGCCTGCAAGGCTCCTCCTTCAGACCCCAGCATGCCCCTAGACCTGAAGGACACCTACAGGGTGAGCAGGCTTCCAGCAGGCTGCTGATGAGAATGTGAGCATCCAATGTATGACAAATAGGACAGCATGAGAGGTCC